CATAAGTAAGCATTTTCTGGCAGAGCTGCCAAAAGACAGAATAGGCTAGAAATATCAACAGCAGGACTTAGGAAACACACACACACACACATACACACATGTGGTTAACTAGGAGGGATAAAGTTTGAATGGACCCCATCAGAAGTAATGAGATTTCTTTCACAGGAGATAGTCACACATAGGTCAAATGACCTCTTGACAGGGATATACTAGAGAAGATTCAAGCATCTGCTTGGGGAGTCAGTCTAGGACCCTGCTACCCAAAATGAGGTCCATGAACTGGCCACAGGCATCTGCTGGGAGCTTTGTTAGAAATGGAGAATCTCTGGTCCTTACCCCAAGCCACAAGAATCACCTGAGAAGTATTTAAGTATTTGGCCTGGCTCAAACCTGGGGGCTTCCTATCCTATAGTGCTATGCCAGGGGCCATTTTTGGGAACCCCCAGACTAGATGACCTTTCAGAGCTCTTCCAAACTGGAGAGTCTAAGAATCTCAGCTTCCCAACCTCAGTGGGCCATGCCCTAAGAACCAGTTCTCACTCCTACCCTAAATGCCAGAATTCTGCCAGCCCCAGCCACCTTGGGCATCCTCTGCTCTTGAGGCATATTTGGGGCTTTGATCCTTGTTAGGCGGACCATCTAGCCTCTACTCTCCTGGCAATATTTACAGTCTTCTCCTCTTGCCCCGTCTCTCTGTCTGTGCCAGCCCCTCACTCATGGGCTTACTCATGACTTCCCCTTGTACATTTAGTTCTACCTCAATCGCATCTTGCAATCTTATTGCGGCAGGAGTGAGAACTGCAAGCTTAGCCCCAAGGTCTGGGGGAAGGTCTGGAGGTGTCTAGTTACATCTCCCACCTAGTTCATGTTATTGGAGGGCGTTACCCTACTACTAATCAGAGAGTCAAAGTGGTGACCTATGAATATTTGTGTTGCCCCTTAAAGTGGAGCAAGTGCTAACCTACCTTCTCTCTTATTGCCCATATGCCTGTTCCTGTGTCTGGTCCTGAGTTCTGATTGATTCCTTTTCTTGATCTACCCCGAGAATCTCTCTAGAACCCAAAGGAAACTAGTCATATTGGAGTACCCATCCTGCACTGGAAACTTTTATTGGTTATCACATTTAATCTTTGCTCTCACATTAAGGAAAAATTATTAACGGCCCTATTTTGCAGATGAGAAAAATCAAGGCCTAGAAAGATGAAGGAACATGTTCAATATTGTACAATCAGCAAGAGGTAGAAATTTGACCCCAGAGCTGCCTGATTCCAAATTTCTATGTTCATTCCATTGTCCCATCCACCAACCTAAATTCGTGTTGGCAGCTGGATGACTTGGGCACCTACCAGTTCTTGCCAGTCTAGTTCCATGGATTTAGACAATCCTGTGTAACAATATGTAGACATTTTTGTCTGCCAAAATTCCAAGGCTGGGGGACTGTGAAGGACAAAGCAACCTGCTGGGGCCATGAGGTCACATGTCAGAGTTCAGGCTTCAGAAAGCTGCAGAGTATGACACAGTAGTTCTAGTGGAAGAGAAGGGGTGGAACAGCTAGGGAACAGGAAGCTGGCAGGTGGTTACACCTTTTCTGGAGCTTGTCATCTATCTCTCTCACTGGATTAGAAATTCTAGGAAGATAGGAATTTTGTCTATCACTGCTGTACCTAAAGCATTTACGACAGCAACTAAAACATAGTAGGGACTCAAGAAACGAATGGATGTGGTTGTCCCTTGCCTCCACAAATATCCAATAAAACTACAAAAATTATGATGTACTCTGTGTGATTGGATTTCTTGTGAAAGTTGATGAGGGATGAGGTATTGCACCCAGGTTAGAGCCATGGTTTGCTGAGACATGGATGCAAAGGAGTAGAGACAGAGAGAGCCATAAAAAATAAGTCTGGAAATGTATAGTAGTTGTGTGGTGGGTCCTCAATAATCCCTAGTTGTGAGGGTGGATATTTGAGGAAAGTTTACCTAAATCTCAGGGATTTAGGTAGGATACGATAGGAATCCCCCAAATGACTCCTGAAAGACCTCAAAGAGACAAGTGCTCCAGATGATAACTATATTCTTCCTAACTTTTAATACCAAAAAACATCCTCCCCCTGCATGTATACTGGGCAAATACCAAGAGTTTCCAATATGGGGACAGTAGCAATTTTCTCTTAGGCACTAGGTCCCAGTTTCCCTGTTGTCCCTACTCATGCCCATTCTTCAGAAAGGCTAATTTAGGTCAATGGCTGCCTAACTCTAGTCCATAGGATCTCATACTCAAATTCATCTTGTCCTTGGGGACCCACAATATTTTGAGCCCAAAGAATCTAGGACTATGACACGGACCCTCATTCTCCTATGGCTTTTGTCTTGGCTCCCACAGTCCTGATTGATGGCCCATCTGCCTCATCTGCTGCCCACAGCTGGGTTACAAAGTAACCCAGGGCTCAGGAGCACAGGCTGCAGATCTTTCTCGCTCATCTTCCATCTTATCTCATAATCATCAGTGCACCAGGCTTGCCCTTCCCCAGGTCTGTGAGTGGCTGGTGCCACCCCCCCGCATATTCTTCACACTTTCTATGCATACACTTAGCATAGGCTCAGTAAATGTGGCTGACTGAGGAGATGTTGGATCACTCTGATTTAAAATTTTTTTTTTTTAAGATTTTATTTATTTGACAGAGAGAGAGAGAGACAGCAAGAGGGAATACAAGCAGGGAGAGTGAGAGAGGGAGAAGCAGGCCTCCCGTGGAGCAGGGAGCCAGATGCAGGGCTCCATCCCAGGACCCTAGGATTATGACCTGAGCCGAAGGCAGACGCTTAACCGTCTGAGCCACCCAGGTGCCCCGGATCACGCTGATTTTTAAAGTCCTGTTGGGCAGCAGTTGTTACCACTTAACCTGACTGTGAGTAGGAGAATCCTGAAAGGATGGTGAAAGCTCTAAATTTCCTTAGTTATGCCTCTGCATAATTTTTGTGCTATTCAGAGTTTTTTTCTGCACCAGAGGTTCTACTCTCACTTAAATTTGGAGAGACCTCAGTAAACAAAACAAAACAAAACAAAACAAAACAAAAAAACAAGGTTATAGAGACACATTCCAGAGAAGACTAGATAGTCCACAGCTTTGAAAGAGGAGAGAAATCATTGTCTTTTTTTTTCCTTCTTATATTCTATTTAATAGGCACACAGTGATGACAAGCGATAGCAATGGTAATGAGATTAGGTGTAAATGATTAACTATTATGGACTATTACTATAGTTATTGTGATTTGCATGGCTCTACTGTTGGTGCCTAGCAATTAAAAGATTCAAACTAGATTTTAACCATAAGGTACTGGGTATTAAGGAAAAAAGGCACATACAGGAAAGCAGTAAAGAGCAACTGAGTTTTTAAATTATGGAAGGTCTTTGAACAGGTGTGCTTTCTGAGGAGCTATGCAGAATTTACATGTGGGTAGGTGCTAGCAAGCATGGCAATGTGGCGGAGGGTCTTGGTGATAATAAACTGTAGAGTGCACTGAACACTGCTCTTTCTATTGCAGACAGAAGGGGGAGATTCCTGTCCTCAACGTGCATCATCCTCATCCTCCATCTCCCGGCACCCCATGGATACTCTGAAATGCTCTCTTCCCAATTTTCTCTTTTTTACCTTCCCAATTTGCTCTTTCCATCCCTGCTGCCCCCCTTCCTTTCTCTCATCCTTGAAATACAGCTGCTTTCCACACTATTCTCAGCCCTCTGTTTGATTCTTAATATACCTTCACTTAGAGACCTTACTCACTCTCAAGGAGTCAGCTACCACTTCTGAGCTGCTAACTTCCAGACCTTTATTTCCTCCCCTAGTGCATCTTTCCAGGCAAGGGCACACATTGCCTACCTGATTTTCTACTTCATTTCCAAATGATGCATCACTTAAAGCTCAGGATGCTTCAAAATGAACTTTGTCAAAGCTAGTTTCTTTTCCTAAAGTCTCTCTTTCCAAGTACGGTATCACCATTCCCTTAATTCCCATCTGTCCCTCACCCTCCATATCTAATCAGTCATCAAATGGCATGCCTTTGATCTCCACAGTTCTTTCATCCAGTCCATACATATATGCCTATTTGCCACTGCCAGAGTTTGGGAGCTTAATCCTTTTCTGGACTATTAAAATGGCCTCCTAATTGATTCTTCCTGCCCTTAATCTCATACTGCCTCATTACAACCTAAAATCTGCTGTCAAATAATTTTTTTTTCAAATACTTCTGGGATTGTTTCATTTCAGTTGGGACTGTTTCAGTTCTTATGGCTCTTCATTATTCATTGTCTAAAGAATAACTCATGCAATCATTCATTGAACAAATATTTACTGAGCACTTAATATGTGCCATGTTGGGATTAGGCAGTGAGCAATATGGAAAAGATTCTTGTTTTCATGGCTTTTGAGAAGGTAGGCAGTAAACAAATAAATAAGATAATTTGGTGCTATGAAGGAAATGAAATGTAGTAATGGTAGAGTGAGTTGCTGGATAGAAAGAGAATTGTTTTCACAAGTTGGTCAAGGTAGACTTTTTAGAAGAAATGACTTTGATTGAAGACCTACATAATGAGCAGGACCTCAGCATCTGGAGATCTGGGGGGAAAGCATTCTGAGTAGGGAAAAGAGCAAGTACAAAGGACCTCAGGAGGGAAGGTGAATTATTTGTCATTCTTGGCCTTTCCCATGTCGGGCCAAGATAGCTTCTTAGTCTAATCTCATATAACAACTCCACACGATACTCAGGTTCCAGCCAAATCATCCTTCATACTGTTCTCCAAACATGCCTTTGTGTTCCTGCCTCCATTTTTGCCTTTCATGTGGAAAGCCCTGCTCTTTCCTATGACTATTGAAATCCAGCAAAAACCCAGTTAGAGGCCATCCCTTCTGTGAAAGCATCATTGATCACCCCCCAGCAACAGTCCAGTTTTTCCTCATTGAAATCTTATTGCATAGGTTGGTACCTCTTGTGTCTTACTTGCCACATCCAGATGGTGCTATAGGAGGCTGCATTCCTGGAAAAGGCATGTGATTTGAAGTACATAAGATGAATCTGAATTTTCTCATGGAGACTGTGTCATGATGATGGTTATTCTCCCAGTCAAGGACTTGATCACTGGAATATAGAGAAATGTTCTGAAATAATAAATTTGAGGAACTCTGTCTAATAAATCCATATGCTATCTCAGAGCTATTCAAACTTTATTTTTAAGCTCCCTGATAATATATACCCATATTTTCTACTCTGTAAAGCATAAAAGCAGAACCAGTCTTGTTGAATCAGGGAAAGGAGACCCGGGAGCCATCCTGCTCAGCTTCTTTGCCCTCTGCAAGAAGGATCCTCCATCTCTATCCCTCACCTCCACCCCCTGAGTCCCTGAGACCTTTGTGGGACCCTAGGGCTTCAGGAGTCTGATTCAATGATGCACAATCTTACCCAACATAAAGCATATATAAAATCAATTCAATTACCCTCATTTTAATTTTCTTTAGAAGCAATTTAATGGAGGCTTATACCCACATCTATATATCTATATCGCTACCTGTGTCTACCTACCTATTGCTTAGAAAGGCAGCTGAGATGGATATTAATTACTTTGATCATAGTAAATATTTCACAACATACACATATGTCAAATCATCAAGTTGTACATCTTAAGTATATATAATAAGGGGAAAAAAAGAACAAAAAGGCACTTAATACATGGATCAGTAGATAGTGGCTGCTGTTGTTTCCACTGTTGTCAATGTTATTATTATTATTATTATTGTGTTATTAACAATAACAATATTGTTAATATTGTTATTATTCCACAGGCTACGGCCATAAGAAGTTAGGAGGCTTTGGGCTGCAACCATCTTACTGCCTCAAGGGAAGCCAGCCAGAGGGTGAGGCCAGCACAGAAAACAGTGAAGCCCAAGAGTCGGAGAACTGGGCCCAAAGACATGATATGAGTCATGCCTGACTCTGGACTAAGCCCTGCCTGAAGCCAACCTTATCCCTAGACTTTCAAAGATGCGAGCTGATGAATTCCCTTTCTTACGCAATCCCCTTAGGGTTGTATTTGCTATTATCTGGAGGGAAAAGATTCCTTATTGGCTCACTGTTCTTTGGTGGCAAGGGAATAAACAACATTTTGAATACAAATGTGGGAACCAGGTGATCTTCTAGACTCTGTTCATCAGATTTGTGTGTCATTATGACCTTATAGATACGTATGGCAGGTTTATCCCCTTTGGATGTGGAAACTGAGGCTAACAGGGATGAAGTGATTTTCCTAAGGCCTAGAGCTAGTCAGGGGGTGGATGTGAATCATCCACCCCCTGACACCAAGGCCTGTGTTCTTCGGCCACAACTTTCACCTCTCCCCAAAGGAGGAAGAACAGATAAGACCCCAAAGGATAAGTGCTCCTTATTTAGGTACTTGAACTTGGAATGAAATTTAAATCTTCCTGATTTTGATACTGCCTCTGTATCATACAATAAGACTCAATCCCAGGGACAAATGCTAGTTAGCAATCAAATGTTTGGAGAATCAATAATCTAATTTTTAGAAAAGGAATTAATACCATATTTAAATTTTTAGGTTCAGATCTCATTTTCTTAGAGCTACCTTAAGCCAGCTGAGCATTAAAAATAGAAAAGATTATGAAATTAGTGTGCGGAAGTTTTTTCCTTTCTTTTTCCCCTTGCTACTTTTAACCCCAGGCTCTGGGTGGGTGGCAATCCTAATTAGGAAATGATTTCCTTTCAATTAATTGTAGATGGCCACAGTCATACTAAAGGTTGTAATCCACAGCTTAATATTAGTATCTTGGGCCAAAATTTTATGTTGGCAAATGTTCCTGTGGTGAATTGTGACTGTCTTGTTTTTAATAGTTATTTTCCTCCTGCTCTCTATAGAATTAACCTCTTATGAATCCACTCATAAACTGTTAGCAAGAAATTTAATTGTAAAGAAAATTATATGGATTCTGAGCTACTTCATGACACATACTCTGCACACACAGTTCTCTACATGATGATGGAGGGCTCTTGTTTGAGAGCAAAGCTCTGCCCATTACACTGGGTTGAAGGCTGCTAGGATAAGGAGGGAAGTTTGTGGTAATTCTAACCCTTCCATGAAAAATCTCCAGGATTTCTGCCACTATAGTTTTGCAATTCATTATTCCTGCTGTCACTTGTAATACTTCATTTTTACAAAAAGCACAAGTTGCAAACCCTCGTCCGTCGCTAGTATAAGTTCTTTACCCCACAATAGCCCTAGTGAGGAAAAGATTATTAAAGTTGGTTTCTGAGATACAAAGATCATGAAACAAAATGTAAAGATAACTTTAAAAGTAATAATTTATAAAAAGAAGTATTGATAGGTGCATCTTTTCTAGGATGTGTAATTCTTCCAGCTCACCTCTCCTGATTATGTTTGGTGTTAATTTTATCTATGTTTGTTGTTTAAAAGAATTGATTTTGCATAAAAAGGCAACAGAAGAGGAAGAACTCTGTCCCTGAAGTTGCTTTGGGGCATTTATTTGGAGACACATTGGATAACACTTTTAGTAACTAGTGAAGGTATGTTTTTACCATAATCAAAATTCTTTCCTCCTTCAGCGCAAAGGAGGGCTTGTGGCAGCGGAAACCTGTTGGAGAGGGTTTCTGGGATACTTTATACCACTTTCTTACCTAGAGTTTAGGACAAAGAATGTCACTTCACAGTGAAGCCTTTGGAAGAGGGAGAGCTAAGGAATTGTCAGCCTTCCCCCTTCTCTGTTGAAGCTTATACCTGAGAGGTGGTACACTGGATACAGCATTGTGCTTTGGATGCAATTCCAGTGCAAATAAAAAAAATGGTATGGTTTTACCATAACCCATTATGCATGTTCATCAAAAGCCAACTTGCCGTGCAAACTGTACAAAAAGGTCTTTGGGCAATCCATTAGAAAAGGTAACTGAAGGCAAATTTGTTAAGTCGTGCTCCCTGGACTCTCTTATTAGGCCAACTCCTCTGTCTGTCAAACAATTTATACTTAACATGTGTCCACATCTCTGTAATCTGGCCCTTCTGCCTCATCCAGGGAGGGGAGCAGTTTGGAAAGTCAGATGGCCTTCTTTCCTGGACAGTGGATTGGTTGATACTTCATGGCTTGCCTTGACTTCCTCTACCTTCTATTCTGGAAGAACCCTGTCTGCAGACCAGAGATAGGCTATGGAAGGGCCTCTAACATGGTGGTTTATCCCTTCCCTCCGCCAGGCCAACATTACAAAGAATCCCCTAAACTATTCTTAGTTCTTCCCCTTAGATTCAAGTAATATAATCTACCGGACATAATCAAATTGTGGTAGGTGTCTCTAGTCTGCTTAACTTGTTCCCATGCCTCGTCTACAGGCATGGGCACACATTTCTAACCTTCTGGAGAGCTGTACATGTCGACTCTATCGGTTGTTGGCAAATTCTCCATAGAGTCCCTCTTTTATACTCTTTTAAATCCTCTCCACCCCCCAGCCCAAGTGTCTGCTTCCTCTCCTTCCCCATTGTGTTTTTTGGCATTAAGCTTAGTCATTCTCAATACGAGACAGAGTGGAAGGGATACATAGGGTCTAGACTCTGGAGGGGGAGTGGGTTATCAAGTCACCTGAAGCTGAAATATCTTTCCAAAAATCTTATTTTTCACACTGCTAAGGTCACACAGATTTTTTCTTCCCCCCAGCTACTCCCAGGCCATCTTAGCACATGAATATATATCTCTGTACATGTCCAATTAGCATAGTGACCATCTTTGCATATTTCCGCTGCTCTTCTGTAAGTGTTCCTATCTATTTTCATTTGTAACTGTCCCATTTTCTTGCCCGTGTATTTTTTTTCCCTCCATTAGATTTCACACATCTAAAAAGAAGGGGCCATATCTTCTATTTCACTTTAATACCCTAAATTCTCTACAAAGAGCCTTAATGGACGCTCTTGGCTGCCTGATATGACTTACCAAATAACTTTGATTCTGCTGGTGCCCTGGGCTTTGCAGAGGAAGCTTGTCACATGGAGGTGCCCCCTTTGACCTTGAGCAAAGCTCTAAATCCCAGTCAGCTGCGTGTTTTCCTTTTATCATAAAAATACCGCTGCCAAGGAGTTGCGGCCCAACACAGATTCAGGAATCAGGCCCCAAATCTGACCCCACTGTCGCTGTTGAGAAAAAAAGGACTGCAAGTCATACGCTGGACACTGGCTTTCTAGCTCGAGGGAAACTGTGTAATGAATAGTTCCGCTGACATAGATTCAACCACTCTCTTTCTCTGTGAAGAGAATGCTTGCCTGACAGGCTCCTGATGAAATGCTTTTTGTCCCTTTCTTGTATTCTAAAAAATAAAACCAAGGCCATTCGCAGAATAATGACATCAAAATAACACTAGGCTTGTGAATGAGCATAATGAATGCAGAGAAAATTGCTGGCAATTAAGTCTGAAACACTGTCCTTGTCTTTCTAGGCATAGCAACGCCTTTCCCGAACAGCTTTCTTCCTCCTCCATCCTGCCCAGGTTTTTTGAGGACATTTAGACATTTGGTCATTTTAGCCTTTGCTGTGCTTCTTCCTTTTGATTTGTTGAGGAGTTTGTGGCTTGCTCTTTTAGTGTTACAACTCCTTTCATGTTATTGGGATTTTCAAGGAGGATGTGAATGATCCCAGGGAGGACAATGTTTCAAAAGCTGCTAAACTGACAGATAATGATGACACTAGGGTGAGCCAGTAAACAAAGAGAGCAAAAACTAAGCTCAGGTTTTAGGGAAAACTGGCATTCAAAACTTGATACAGAGATCTGAGGTCAATCAGGCACTCAGAAACCCAACACGGGTTATAGTCAGTGTCAGACGATGAGGAATACAGGTCAAGATACAAATGGCCTCAGGTTTGATGATGGGGGATATTGGATTGGACGTTTTATTTTGACTGATTGTATCTTGTAACTAAAGTGGCAATGATGGACTTTATTGGTTATCAGATAAGCACTGTTAAGGAAAGTTGGAGACACATTTCTTTGACTTTGTCTTTGGATTAGGCTCTTGAGCTTCACTGGCTCTTGATCCCATGAAAAGTGATGGATACCTAGAGTTATAATTTTCTTTT